TGTACCCGCTCCATTCACCATCTCCCAAAATATCCAGTAAGGGTGTCGTTTCATCCATTCACTTAATCACATAATTTTCCTGTTTTACCTTAGTCTCCATTTTCCAAATTAAGTGTAATAACATAAACAAACAAATACATGTATTCAAGGAATGCAATTATATCTCGATTTTTCAATTTAACAGTAGTAACGTAAGACAGCAATACATGTATTCAAATCATAAAATTGATAAATAAGATACTATCATGCATTTAAATTGTAAAATAAATTAACAAAAATCAACAGAGAATAATTTTCAGTTCTGGCTCCATTAGTAACCCGTAATTAATTATACATATTTTTTAAGTTTCACGAAATACCATATTATTTAAAATTAAACTTCAATTCCATAACAGAGGATATAGTGACGGATTCTTACTCAATTTGATGTCCGAATGGCTAAATTATGGTGCTACACTTATTGGTGGGCCCGAGTTCCTTGAATTTTTCTTCGGAGATTAAAACGCGCTACAAGTACCTATAAATATCCTAAAAAAATCCAAAAACAGTGTCAGGGCCCACTTTGGCCAATTCCAGAATTGAGCCGTCGTGCTCCGGTGACGGCGCCGCCCCATACGGTGGTGGTCTGCCTCGGGTTGACTGTTTTTGGCCATTTTTGGCCAAATTCGACCGATTTTGCATCAATCCCTATGAAAAAATACGTTAAGGGGCATCGATTGGCCCAAAAAACACATAAAATCAAAACTTATCGGTGGTGTGGCTCTCTGGTGTGGCGGCTCCTCCAACTCAGGTTGCGGTTAGGTGTTTTGCTATAGTCAACTTGTAAAGAAGGAAACAGTGATCACAACAGTGAAAAAGTTACGTCAAACGGGAATCGGGAAGGGTCTCATCGGAGGTGTTTTGTGAAATTTTCCCGCGGTGACACCGCCGAGATTTGCTCGTGGTTTTCAGCCAATCAGCCGGTCCTTTTACTCTGATTTAGTAATGAGGGTGTTTAAAATTGAATTTCGAGCAAAGAATTTTTTTTTTGCTTTTTTTAGCGGTCGGAAGTAGCTCCGGTATGGCGGCGGGTAGTGGCAGCTCTCCTTCTTGGCGGCTGGATCTTCTTCTCTGGCGAGGGTGGCTGGCGGCTAGGGTTAGAGTTTTGTGTGAAAGAGGTTATTTATATCCGTCCCCATTTAATATGGACCATCCATCGCGTTTGATCTGCACTGTCTGATCGCGATTAAATAGAGAGTGAACTAGACCGTTCATCGCGATCTAATCTGGATTATCTGATCTTGTTTAAATCTGACCGTCTTATTATATTTGGGGAGGGAACGCATCCAGGCCATCCGTGTGCGCGGGAACGGATCTAGGTCGTTCGATCGTAGGCAAGCGAATTATCCGTATGGCACCGCATCAGCGTCTGTTGCCAGTGGCGCGTCCTGATTTGTCGGGACTGCTGACCGGGCATCCTACGTGGTAAAACTTTTCTAAACTATATTTTGACTCCGCATTTCTGATTTTTCTTTTAAAAATACTTTTAGAACCCAAATTTTTACCATTTTTTTCAAAATTATTTTTAATTTCATCATCCATCACATTTTCTTCATTTTTACACTAAATTAAAATTAAAAAATTATATTTATAATTAATTTAATTTATAATTAAGTTAATTTGGGTATTGCAACTCTCCATCTCTTAAAAGAAATTTAGTCCTTCAAATTTATTTCTCTCACTCTCAATCAAACAGCTGAGGATATTGGGCTCTGAAGTTTGACTTTAGCTCCCATGTAGTATCTCTCGGTGTGTGATTCTGCCACATGACCTTAACGGAGAAAATTTTTCAGTTGCGGAGTAATAAGCTTTTTTGATCCACAATACCGACCGGTACTTCCTCGTAGGACAGATACTCCTAGAGTGAAAGATGCTCATTGGCCAAGACATGAGAGGGGTACGGGTTGTACTTGCATAGCATGTACACATGAAACACATTATGGATCCTAAAAAGTTCTAGAGATAGGGCCAGTCTGTAGGCGGCGGTACCAATTCTATCTAAGATCTCGAATGACCCAATAAACTAGGGGGCTTAGTTTCTCCCTCTTGCTAAACCTACTGATTCTCTTAAAAGGAGTGACCTTAAGGAACACTCGATCGCCTTTCTCAAATTCTAAATCCCTCATCCAAGCGTCTGCATAACTCTTTTACCTGCTCTAAGCCGTCTAAATGTTCTTCCTGATCTTAACTATTTTGGCTGCAGTCTCCTTTATAAGGTCTGGGTCCAACAATTTTCTATCACTCACTTCTTCCTACCAGATCGGTGATCTACATGGGCAGCCATACAATGCCTCATACGGAGCCATGTTAATACTTGCTTGGTAGCTGTTGTTATAGGTGAATTCTATCAGGGGTAAATGGTCATCCCAATGACCCCAAAGCCAAGAACATAAGCTCGAAGCGTATCCTCAAGTGTACGGATCGTCCTTTCTGACTGTCTATCAGTCTGAGGGTGGAATGCAGTACTAAGGGACAATTTTGTTCTCATAGCTTACTGAAAACTAGACCAAAATTGAGAAGTGAACTTGGGGTCCCTATCATACACTACTGTCATTAAGACTCCATATAATTTGACTATTTTTCGGATGTACATTCTTGCCAACTTGTACAAGGAATCGGTTATCTTAATGGCCAAGACGTGGGAAGACTGTGTAAGCCGATCAATAATTATCCAGATATGCATGGCAAACTTTGAGCTATGAGTCTGTGTCATGATATTCCTTTTCAACTCATTATCACCTAGAACGCATACTCTGTCTTGAAATCTAAGTAACTCATCAGCAGAGACTCGAAATTCTGAATCAACTCCCTGTTCTGCATCTTTCTTGAGGGCTGCCAGGGTGGAACCGACGGATTGAGCTTCCTTTATTCTTTGGATTAACTCTGACTGAACAGTCAGGTGACTCAAAACATGTGACTCTCTTCAAGTCCTGAAGTCGTACATGTTGTGCGGTCCCTATCTGCATGCATTCTAAAACCATCAAATGAGTTAATGTACATGTGATTTTCCTACTAAGTGTGTTGGCTACCATGTTGTCTTTACTTAGTGAACTTGATATCACAATCATA